TCTTCTCATCTCCTTAGATCTTGTTATGATGATGCCCTCTTCTTTCACTTCGCTTCTCAAGGGATATTCCACTCTGATGTCGTGCCCGGTCTCTACCGTGCCAGTTGGAGCTGTCAGAATTTCATTTCTCAGCACATCGAGCCAGTCGAACTCTCCCAGAAAATAGATTGGTGAGACCTCTTTCATGTCAAACATTCAATAAAGGGAAAGCTCTTCCTCTGATGGAATAACTGGTTGTCAGATGAGACCAGCCATAATGTATGCTATCTTGGTGTTTCTTGTAGATCCTTGGGCTATCATCATCTAGGAAGCTCCCAGTAGTCTCCTTTCTTTTATGTGAGGTCGTTCTGATATACTTGTAATAACAACCTTCAGGCATGAGATCAGAGCCTTCCTCTCTGGCCCACGAAGATCATACAGCCAGGACAAAAATCAGAACGGTCTCTTCGATGACCAAGAAGATTTGCGCTGAATTGTCACTCAGAATTCTCGTGTGATTTCAGCAGACAAGAATATACACCAAAACTCAAGTAGTAGCCGTGCCATCTAGTAACCAAGTGGGGCATTAAAGTGGTCTGGACTCTGGGCTTTGTTTCATATTTTAACCCGCACAATTGGCATAGCGGTGTAAGGCCCTGCCACGCTCCTATTGGAGAAAGACATAGCGGGCCAGTCCTGTGTTTGAATCCCCTAGCAGGTCAAAAAAAAACCTCCGGCCAGTGTCAACTGCAAAGAGCAAGCAGGGATTAGTCTAATCCATAATAAGGTGTGGGGATACCTCGTGAGAAACCAAAAAAGTTTCTAGATTATTAGTTTCTACAAGTTTGAGTAACGTTGAAAAAGAAGTAGCCAATTATATTATCACCTCAGACTCTAGACAATGTGGCTCATATAGCAAAACAGTCTCAGAATCAGATGTCTGTTCTTTTAAGAATCCTAGGCATTTTATTAATTTTTAAAACCAAAAGCCTGCTAAATAATAGGTTAACCGTATGGAATGAACATAAAAAGCACATAACAAAAGCCATTGAGGAGCTAGATATTAGGTTCCTTAATATTTAGGAACATGAGAGTATGTCACAACCCAAGTCAAAATTGTATGTGACAATCTATTACGAGGCTGTATGGAACTAATCAGCAGATAATCATGTTGAGTCCAGGATAGTTGATTGAATGCAAATAGCAGAAAGGAAATACAATAGCATGGAAACTGCAATTAATGTCACCCTCTGGCCTGAAAGACATCCAAAATATGCAGCTTATCATTTGAAGGGGAGCTTTCATAAGCGAAAACAAGGTCAGTTGCATGGTCCAACATAACGGGTACAAGCAACAAAGCCCAGAGGCAAACAGTATGAGATTATTGGGACCCATAATGCATCGCAATTGTAAGGGAAAACAAGAAGTATTTTGCAGGAGGGCGCTGACTTCATGATCATATTCTGAAAATATATCTACCTTTAATTTTTACAGCGTGCAGCACTTATTAGAGTGTATTTTTGGATTGAAGTTTCAAAGTGGAACAAAAAGATTTATTCATAGATAAGAGTCTGAAACTGATACGTGAGCACATAAGTTCAAGAATAGAGGCCAAAATAATTGAAAATATAAAGAAACATTAACTTAGCTATAGAAGGCCTTACCGTTGGCTGTCATTTACTGACAGCGACTATAACATTTTCTTACGGTCTCAGAGACGGGTATTTTTTATGGACAGGAGGATATTTTCCGGAGGTAAGAGTAACTTGCTTACCTTCCGGGTGACCGCGCAAACTCTTGTCCTTCTATCTACTATTATGAGGTTCCAAAAATGCTTGACAAGTAAGCGGTCTTTCTGCTCCAGGCCCATTCTTCTATTCTCATGAACCCACTGGATTTTGAAATTGAAAAAAAGAACAAATTAAAATTCGAATGATGGATGAAAAGTAATAGCTTAAAAGTCATGAAACACCTTATATTAACCTCTTGAAAAAAAAAGTGGAAGAAACACAGGAGTACTTTCTGTGCCTATTTGACGGCATGTAAGTTCCGCTTCCACCTGCAAGTTCCATAAACATGGAATGAACATGGAAACTAGGAAGATAAGATAAAGATAAAGATAAAGGAAAACTGAAGGAAGAGACTGGCAGACAGCATCTCTGGTATTCATGATTACTTAGAACTACGACACATACCCGATATTTCTCCGCCCAACCAAGTTAACTGGAAATTACAAAATATTTAATGAGGGAGTACGCCAGCTATACTCAGTTAAAACCTCATTCTTATAAGAGAAATTTGCAGAGTCCAGGTCGACCCAAGTTGGTGAGAGAACTTTTATAAGCTCTAACGATATGGTAGGCAAAACTGTCACCATGTATACCAAAAAAATCTAGCCCTTCCACCAAAAAAATACTAATTACTTATCAACCATGGGTCTCACAATGCATATAACAATATCAGCAAGAAAAATCCAACAAAACAAGAAAAAACCTTCTAGGCATGATCCAATATTAATGTGTAGTTCAATTTGTTTATCCCTTGTCATGGTTCATCGATGAGCCAACATATCATTTGCCCTCAAAATTTGGTTGTATACAAGCAATCATCTACATTGCCAACTCCAAAAATGTAGATGAACACACACCCCATTAGTAGTTAGTGTTTACAGTTATTAAAACTCCTCATATTATCATCAAATCCAGTAGCACCAATCTCCTAGGAAGGTTGTACTGCTCCAGCTCTCCGATCTCCTATTAAAACACAATTTTTTTTAGATAATAAACAATAACAGGTAATTCTCTAAAACAAAATAACATAATACCATTTACCTGATTTAATACCAAACATGGCTGCAAGCGACCAATGATCGGAAGGAACTTTTGCAGATGGTATCAGCTCAAATGGAAGTAAACATGAAACCCCACTACATACCAGTGCATGCTCGGCATACAATAGAAAAACTATGTGATTCACTATAACTTATGCTCATAAGGATAAATATTAATAAACATTAAATTACACACTCGAGTAAAATATGTAATCATATGTGTTGTGTCTCCCGCCCCTAGGATTGCATTTGGTATAGAAGGGTACTTTCGTGTCTGGGTCAATCTGCTTCTCTGATGTACTAAACATAAACATGCAATCCGCAAATGCAGATCCCTAAGATTTGAAAAAAAAATGAAGCTAAACTAGAAATAATGTTTATAATGTCTACTTAAAAAAGAAATATATGTAGTGTTCATAATCCTAAATTTAGAGCAATATTTTATCCTTAATTTGTTACATTAAATTAAAAGCAATAAAAGTATAATATCAATACCATTGACGGAAGTCACAAGTCCACTGAGGATAACGAGAAAATAGTTTCCCTTGATAAATTGTTGGTAATAATCCCTTGATAAATTTCACTGAGGAAAAAACATATATTTAATATATATATTAAACATAATTGTGAAAAAATAAAGTATTTAAGGAATAGAGCTCAAATCACCTTTGGGGCCTTGAGTTGAAATCTCCACAAAGAACTATTCCATCAGCCTCATCCCTCCCCCTCTTAAGCTCATCACAGGTAAGATATAGCTTAAGGACAGTTGAAGAAGTTGAAAATTATTCCATATAAGAATTCTCATATAAATAGGAGTGTCTTCAAACAGGAAATAAGACGAATTCAAAACTTTCTATTGAAAACAGTTGGCCAAACCTGAAATAATCTAATTTAGAAACAATTAAACAATATTTTTTCTCAAAAATTTAAAAGTGACTGATTTAAAAACAAGTATCGAGAAAAGAGTTTGAGCTATAAAATATGATTTCAAACCTAAGGTTGAGGCCAAACAAAATTTAATTTACCGATCAAAATTTATTATTTGAAAAAAAATCAAATCCTGTTTTAGAGAAACTTCTAGAAATGCTTAGTTTTCTTTTAATAAAACAATTGAAATCAATCTAAAGTCACAAAGCCAAATAAAGGGATCTACAACTTAAGTTTATTTTCCAAATTGCAACATTCAGAGGAAATGAAACTACAAAAGTGAGTAAATGCTACAGAAAGTTAGTTGTGAAAGTCTACCACAATGGAATTATACCTTCACCACTTTTAAAAAGATATCCGATTATTGATCTCAAATGTTATCATGATGTCACCTGTGATGAATCTCAGTTTTCTACTTTTCGTGAATATAATGAAATGAGATTATTATGTACATCTGCATGATTCTGATATTAGTACTTTTTGCAGATAAGTGTAAGTTGACAATGAAAACTTTCTTTGCTGTATTATTTAATTGGAGACTTGTAATAATTGAAGCGTTCGGCTTCACAGCATTTGAACCTTGTAGGGCACCTCCAAACAAAGATGGTGAAAGATATTATAGGACGAGCTGCAAAGATAACAGGACAGTATAAAAAATATTAGAGGTTCCATCATTGCATCCATCTAAAGGTGAGTATCACAAGTAAATATTACAAAAATACTACTTTATAATTCTTAACATTAGGAAATTTATTGACCTTATAGGCGCTTGCGCACCCGGAAAGAGGCAACTCTCATTCTGTAAAAGATTGAAGTAAGTTGTCAAAAGTAATTAAGGAAATAAGTGATATTAGGCAAATATTTTGGAGTCTATATTAGAGATGTTGCGATGAGAGTTATTAGAAATATGATTAGGAGAATAATCATAATTAGGCAATTGAGTTTAGTCTCACATTGCCTACAACAAATAATTTTTTATTTAAAAAGGATTGTAACCTTCGATCAATTAATAAGAATCTACAATATGTTATTATTTAACATAAGAAAACTAAAATTTTACAGAGGAAAGATATATCGAGTACATTCATTTGGTATGTGAACTCGTAACCTTAAAGCTCCTCCTCCACATAGTGCTTGAAGTGGTCATACTGTGCTTACAAAACAAATTTTAAATCAAACCGATGCATCATATTTTTCAATGAGCACAATCAACTTTAGATTTTACTTCCTGAAAGCATACTATATCCGGATCAAACATTTCGATTTTTTTGCATATGTTTTTAAGTCTATACGCCCAATTGAGATGTTTTCGGGGGCACCATGCATAGTCATCCTGTTGCAACTGCATCACAAACTTGTTGGCAAAAACATTATACTTCTGAGTTTTCAGTGGAGCGAGTCGTGACTATTCGTCGAATTCCATACAACTTCTTGATTTAAATTCTTGTATCCTTCTTCCCACAAGATACGTCTATGGTCTTTCTTTTTACAACCTGCCCTTTGTAAAAAGAAAGACCATAGACGTATCTTGTGGGAAGAAGGATACAAGAATTTAAATCAAGAAGTTGTATGGAATTCGACGAATAGTCACGACTCGCTCCACTGAAAACTCAGAAGTATAATGTTTTTGCCAACAAGTTTGTGATGCAGTTGCAACAGGATGACTATGCATGGTGCCCCCGAAAACATCTCAATTGGGCGTATAGACTTAAAAACATATGCAAAAAAATCGAAATGTTTGATCCGGATATAGTATGCTTTCAGGAAGTAAAATCTAAAGTTGATTGTGCTCATTGAAAAATATGATGCATCGGTTTGATTTAAAATTTGTTTTGTAAGCACAGTATGACCACTTCAAGCACTATGTGGAGGAGGAGCTTTAAGGTTACGAGTTCACATACCAAATGAATGTACTCGATATATCTTTCCTCTGTAAAATTTTAGTTTTCTTATGTTAAATAATAACATATTGTAGATTCTTATTAATTGATCGAAGGTTACAATCCTTTTTAAATAAAAAATTATTTGTTGTAGGCAATGTGGGACTAAACTGAATTGCCTAATTATGATTATTCTCCTAATCATATTTCCAATAACTCTCATCGCAACATCTCTAATATAGACTCCAAAATATCTTGCCTAATATCACTTATTTCTATAATTACTTTTGACAACTTACTTCAATCTTTTACAGAATGAGTTACCTCTTTCCGGATGTGCAAGCGCCTATAAAGTCAATAAATTTTCTAATATTAAGAATTATAAGATAGTATTTTTGTAGTATTTACTTGTGATACTCACTTTTAGATGCATGCAATGATGGAACCTCTAATATTTTTTATACTGTCATATTATCTTTACAGCTCGTCCTATAATATCTTTCAGCATCTTTGTTTAGAGGTACCCTACAATGTTCAAATGCTGTGAAGCCGAACGCTTCAATTATTACAAGTCTCCAGTTAAATAATACAACAAAGAAAGTTTTTATTGCCAACTTACACTTATCTGTAAAAAGTACTAATATCAAAATCATGCAGGTATACGTAATAATCTCATTTCATTATATTCACGAAAAGTAGAAAACTGGGATTCATCACAGGTGACATGATGACCAATCGTAGACTTTGTAATTTTCTCCTAAATTGTAGCAATAGCCTCCACTGCTCCAGATGCTCCTAAAAGATGGCTAATCGTAGACTTTGTAATTTTCTCCCTCAGCTACAAATTTGTGAGTTTGTTAGGTTACAACTATAAAGGTGCATAAAACATAGAAATGATCTCAAAAACATATGAAATCTCAGTTATACATCCGAACTTTGATTACAATTTGATGCTCAAACATCATACCTTGGGATTTTGACCAAAACAACTAACGGGAGCTTGGTACTCTTTCACATTATTAGATAGTGTTGAAGTTGCATGAGCGTTTACATTGTTGGCATCCTCTCTAGCGACTCCCATTCCATTAACACCTCTATGCAAAGAGCAACACCTATCCCAAATCGAACAGAGAACTAGTAAGAATATCTAGACCAAACAGCACTTATTCAATATTCAAGGTAAAAGAGATGATTTTTCACCTCTGGGTGTGGCTGTCATATGGTAAGCATCACAGGTGTAACTTCCTCCCAAAAACTCAACATATATATTTGCTCCTCTTTGCTGTAGAAAGGCAATCATGAAAGGAAAATCAATCACGACAAGGAAAATCTTTTAACAAAACAAGATAAGATAAAGGCTTCGCATCACATCAAGTTAGGGCTAGGTTATCTGGATGATGGTCACGAACGAAGTTGAAGATTGACTCGACGTGAGATCGTTGGTCGTTGGCGGTGGCCATCACCTGAGAGATCAGAGCCTAGAACGGGCCGAGATCGCTGCCCAAGATCGCCTGCAACAGATTTTGGTCCATTGGAGATGGAAGAAGACGATGAGGGAGATGGGGGCTAGGGTTTTCGAGGGTGTGAGTAGGAAAATTGAGCTTTGGGAAATAATTGAGGGGTTTAGGCTTTTTGATTGGGGTTGGCACCAGCTGTCAGGGGGGAGAGATGAACTGATGTGAGTGGATGCGATTTTTGGATCTGCTTTTATCGGGTGGATTGTTTTTTTTTTGTTTTGTTCGTGTTCACAACGTTCGTGTTCGCGACGTGGGCTCACTGGGCTGAAGCTATCCGGTGATGATATGCTGACACGTGGAAAAATATGGGCGGTTAGTGTTTGGAGTTGCGTCCGAGGAAGGGAGGGATGGGATTCCTTCTTCCTTTCTTTCATGGGTTTAATTAATGATAATAATTGTAATGATGATGGTGATTAGCGATTTTATTTGTTCAAGGGGAGGGAAGAGATGAAAAAAAAAATTTCCTTTTCATCAATTTTTTGTTCTGATGGCAGTAAATGGCTGGTAGAGGAAGTTAAATTATTCACATTGTCTGGGAGCTTTTTAAGAGAACGGAGTGGAAGAGGAGTAACAAAGTTTACATTTGTTAATCTTTATTCTATATAATTTAATTACCCCAAATTGGGATGTAGAGTAAGTTAAATATTTTGGACCTTCACGGTATATATTTAAGGGCTAAGAAATGGTTTCTTTCCATTCTCTTGACCAAACTCCTAAACATGCCATTCCTTTCCTGTCTTTTACCTTATATCCCCTTTCCTTCTTTCCCTTCCCCTCTGTTAGTAAACTCCCAACCATAGCATAAGGAAACCGAAACATAACAAAAATATATTGCAACTTGTCTATCCAGAGTATACAGATAAAGAAGAAATTGGTTTGAATGCTTGGATTTTTTTTGGCGAATTAAACAGAACTCAGAATTAGAATAGGGATATTTTATGGGACAAAAATTTTAGGCAATGCTTGGTTCCTTAAAAGGATTAGGATTAGGATTAAGGATGGGAGTGGACTTTAGTGAGATTGGGATATTAAACCGCATTCCCATGTTTGATTAACTTATTTTGGTTCATGATGGGAGTGGTATTAATACTAAGGCAATATATTAATCTAAAACAGCCATTAATTTTTTAATTGCAAATTACACACTTAAAAATTAACATAAAATTCTTAGAGGTTTCAGAAGTTGCAATGTACCACCTAAAATTTTGCAATTTACCCCCAAAACTTTGCAATCACCCCAAAAATTGCAATTTACCCTAGAAAGTTTAGAATTTGCTATTTGCCTCAAGAAAATTACACTTTACCCTAAAAAATTGCATTTTACTTTCCTAAAAGTTTTAGAATTTCTAGTTTCCCAAAACTTCACATACTGCTCATTTTATCCTCATCTAAAGGGACCTGTATGTAATGTATTCATGTCACTACACCAGTAGCCATCAATATTTTTATTCACATACTACTCAATTTATTCACATACTCATTTTAACCTTCTAAACAGTGTTATAATGAAAAATGTGGACAATAACAATGAAAGAAAAGGACAAGTTCACAAATAACTATTAATAAATTGCATAGGAAGTTCAACTTAAAAAAGAATTTGTAAATATAAAGACTTACTTTCTTTTGTAGAACAACAAGAAAAATGGCAGATGAAGAAATAGATAATAGCAAGACCAATTTAAGCTACTTTACTTTTCCAAAACAACCCTCCCTCGAAATACAAATTAAATTGACCTCTTGAATAGTAATTGGTTGCAAAATTTTGCCATTGACAAAACTTTAGAAAGAGATATTCGGCTAATTTAGTAATATATTAAATTTTATATTCTTAAACTAGAAAATTTAGAGTTGACCTTATATTCTTTAGAACAAGACTGTATAAGCATCAAATGACAATATTTTTGGTAATATATATTTTTTATATGATTTATGTTTTTTTAATTTTAATTGTATAATAATCAAATCAAATGTATTAAAACTTAGAGAGATGTAAATTTAAAATATAATGATAAAAAAAATAAGTTGTCGTGCTTTGCACAGGGTACATACTGGTGCTTATATAACCAATAGTCCATTGCATATAACTCATTTCCATTTAGTAGCCAATTTAAGTACTCAAACAAGAAGGTCAAATGGGCTCAAACACTAAAAACCCAAATAATCAAACAAAATATGATGCAATGAAATTATAAAATGAATGGAGTGCATTCTCACCAGATACTATAATTATAATATTATTATATTTTGATTTTTAGATAAATAAAATTTTCTAGATCTACCATTGGTTCTAGATAGCAATCTTTCTTCAAAGTGAGAAGAGATTATAATCGAATATTTTTCAATAATGAAGTCCATAATATTCCACCATACCATCAACAGTGGCATAAGCAGAATTTTTCTCCAGTGACATCACCATATAATGTCATTGTTATAATTATAATCTATATTGATAATTTTACAACGTTTGCTCTTTTAGTTATGTCCTACCCTTTATCTTAAGGGTGTACTAAGTATTAAATGCAAGTAAATAAATATATATATGTATAAAATAGACAATTTAATAGTGTCATGTTCACTCCCTTGACTAACACACCGCTCAAGCCAAAGATGGAAAAGGTTTTCAAAAGTTCACCTTTAAGGATAAATGATCTTGGAGATGACGAGAACATTCAAAGGAATTCTACTGTCAAAAAAAACTGAAGGTTAAGTTGATTGGCAATCATTTGTTACGTGTTGTATGCGCTATATGAATACAATATCATAAAAAGCTCAATATCTATTTTGTGTTGTTGCAGATCTCAAAAGAAAGAGAACTTCCAATGACTGTGGCAAGGAGAATGAATCTGAATTTTTAATGGAGTTGCTACCATGTTTTTGTGCACAAACCTGATGAATTTATTTTGGTCTTCATATTTTGTTCAGTAAAGCTTAATATCATAGTGACTTTCTATATGGAAATTGCTTTGACACACTCGGTGTGGCTATATGTATTAGTCTAACTTTAAGGTTATTTTGGAGTAAGTACTTTACTATGTTTAAGAACTCACATGCATGAATAAATGGTAGTTGAATATTGGGCATGGTCCTGTGTTTATGTGTAGGTATCTGATCAGGTTCATACTTTATAGCAATTTCCATGTCTATGCAGAGAAAGTACCCTCTCAAAATTTACTCAAGCAGTTCCTTGCCTTTAGTATGAAGAAAAGACACAAAAAATAGTTAAGACTTCAAATTGGACTAAACGCTAATCTTAAGCATGTACAATTTAATTGAGCAACTTATAGGCAATTTATATATATGCCCAATTTTATTTACAGATTCCACCAAATTAGTGCATCCATTCAATAGGATTCTAAGAGGGGGAAAACATCTGACTTAAACATTAAACTCATAGACTTCATGAGAAAATAGAGTGCTTAAAACTTAATTTATTTATGAGATTAATTCATTTAACTATATGTGTCGTAACTTATTCCCATGTAGACTATTTCATTTAACTATATTTGTGAGAATAAATTACCATTTGCATTAGAGTATGTATATAGCTTATTAGAATATCTAAAAATTGAGAACAATTCTGAAATAATTTGAAACCACGTAAAGACTATAAAGATAAGTCAATTATTATAAGTATTTTCACTCTAAGATACGTCTTTCAAAAATTAACCATGTCCTAAGATTATGACACAAAAACAACACAAAGTAATTAAAATACACTAATTCAAAACTTATAGCGTTGATCACTAAAGGGTAATTTTTTCCTCAAAATAAATTTCAACCTGATCAAGCTTTTATTTTAACTCATGCATGTAATTCTTTCCTTGCGATAATTTTCTTGCAAAGTTCACAACTCTTATAGCCAATTGAACAGCAGTTAAGGAAGGTCTCTACTGCCTAGATTTTACTCAAGCAGTTCCCTGCCTTTAGTATGAAGAAAAGGCAAAGTGAGAGTTAGTTAAGACTTCAAATTGGACTAACAATGCTCATCTTAAGCAAGCAATTTAAATGAGCAACTTATAGGCAATTTATATATATCCCCAATTTTATTTACAGATTTCATCAATTGGTGCATCCATTCAATAGGATTCTAAGAGAGGAAGAACATCGACTTATAAAAAGTTAATTTTATTTATAACATTAAACTTATAAAGTTCATGAGAAAATATAGAGTGCTTAAAACTTAATTTTATTTATGAGATTAATTCATTTAACTATATGTGTTTATTCCCATGTAGATTATTTCACTTAGCTATATTTGTGGGAATAAAAAGGATAAAGAGTCACCAAATCTAGGGTTCGTAATTCATGAGATGAGATAGATCAACCAAATTTAACGAATCTAGCATGAAATTAAGCATAAAAATACCAAAAATAATGAGATGAGATAGATCAACCAAATTTAACGAATCTAGCATGAAATTAAGCATAAAAATACCAAAAATAGGGAAACAATCGATTAACAATATTTTTAACGAATCTAGCATGAAATTAAGCATAAAAATACCAAAAATAGGGAAACAATCGATTAACAATATTTCGTGGTTTTGATATCAAATTATTCATCGACTATTCGACGAAAGGGAATATCATGGAGAAACTATACCTGTAATTGCCAAAAATCCAACAAATCAAGGAAAAATCCGACGAACCCCCCTAAGAAAGGCAGTGATTTCCCCAAAGCCGACAAAAAATCCGACGAAATTCGAGAGAGGAGTCAACGACGAAATTCGAGGGAGGAGTCGACGACGAAATTCGAGGGACGACGAGCTTCGACGCAGGATTCGACGACGAGATTCGAGGGACGACAAGCTTTGAGGGAGGAGTGAGCAACCAGCTTCGAGGGAGAACAGTGAAAACCCGAGCTCTAGAATTCACTTGGAGTCACAGATCTGAAGGATGAGAGAGAAAGAGGAGAGAGGAGCCATCTACATGGAGTTAGATCTGAAGGGGGGAGAGAGAGAGGAGAGAGGAGCCGAGCTAGATTCAGATCTGGAGCGGCGGCGGCTGATAGAGACAAAGAAGAAAAGTGAAAACCTAGCCCTAAAATCCTCTCTTAGCTATTTATATATGGGTAACATTTATAAATAAACTTTTAGATAAGTAATATTTGCAATAAATTCAATTAATAGGACTACAATGCAAAAACTGATTGAATAGTTAATGGACTCCCGAATCGAACATACATTTTGTTAAATTCTATTCATTTATAAGCCGAATACTAAAAAATATTTGTTTAGTACTAAATAAACTATTGAATCGAACTTGATCGAATATCCCGGACGAATAATAACTGAACTGTTATTCGGTTCACTTCCACCCCTAGGCCGCATAAGTAATTTTTACTGGTTGGTGTCGTCGTGGGGAGGGACGAGGGCGTTGTCGGAGAGGGAGGGCGACGTTGCGGGGAGGAGGGCGTTGGAGAGGGAGGAGCGCAGATCGTCGGAGAGGGAGGAGGGAGTCGTCACGGGGAGGGAGGGCGTCAGAGAGAGAGGAGCGCAGGTCATCGGAGAGGGAAGAGATAGTCGTTGCGGGGAAGGACGAGGGCGTCGTCGCGAGGAGGGTGGACGGCGTCAGCGGGGAAGAGAGAAACGTTGGATGAGAGAAAGAAATAGGTACTCGGTTGGACTTGGAGACAGAAAGGGGAAATGATGGTAAAAACTATACGTCCTAAGTCTATTTATATATGGGGTAGAAGTTGTAATAAAAATTTTGATGGGTAGTATTTGCAACAAGTTTAATTAATAGGATTAACATAAAAAGGTTACCGAATAGTTAATAATTAGCCGAATTGAATATAACTTTAGTTAAATTATATTTGTTTGTAAGTTGAATACTGAAAATATACATTTAGTATTAAATGAACCGTCAGATCGAATATGACCGAATATCTGGACGAATATTAAGCGGTTTTTTATTAAATATTTGGTTCGTTTCCACCCCTAACCATCATATACTGCTTTGAATTATTCCTCGACGCAAGCCTTAAATTAATCTGAATAATCATCAATGTAGACGAACGTGTACTTCACATATTGCTCATTTTATCCTCATCTGAAGGGACTTGTATGTAATGTATTCATGTCACTACACCAGTAGCCATCAATATTTTTATTCACATACTACTCATTTTATTCACATATGCATTTTAACCTTCTAAACAGTGTTATATTGAAAAATGTGGACAATAACAATAAAAGAAAGGGACAAGATCACAAATAACTATTAATAAATCGCATAGGAATTTCTACTTAAAAGAGAATTTGTAAATATAAAGACTTACTTTCTTTTGTAGAACAACAAGAAAAATGGCAAATGAAGAAATAGATAATAGCAAGACCAATTTAAGCTACTTTACTTTTCCAAAACAACCCTCCCTCGAAATACAAATTAAATTGACCTCTTGAATAGTAAGTGGTTGCAAAATTTTGCCACTGACAAAACTTTAGAAAGAGATATTCGGCTAATTTAGTAATATATTAAATTTTATATTCTTAAACTAGAAAATTTAGAGTTGACCTTATATTCTTTAGAGCAAGAATGTATAAGCATCAGATGACAATATTTTTGGCAACATATATTTTTATATGATTTATGATTTTTAATTTAAGCGTACAATAATCAAATCAAATGTATTAAAACTTAGAGAGATGCAAATTTAAAATACAATGGTAAAAAAAATAAATTGTCGTGTTTTGCACGGGGTACATACTAGTGCTTATATAACCAATAGTCCATTGCATATAACTCATTTCCATTTAGTAGCCAATTTATTAAGTACTCAAACAAGAAGGTCAAATTGGCTCAAACACTAAAAACCCAAATAATCAAACAAAATATGATGCAATGAAACTATAAAATGAATGGAGCGCATTCTCATCAGGTACTATAATTATAATATTATTATATTTTGTTTTTTAGATAAATAAAATTTTCTAGATCTACCACTGGTTCTAGATAGCAATCTTTCTTCAAAGTGAGAAGAGATTATAATCGAATATTTTTGAATAATGAAGTCCATAATATTCCACCATACTGTCAACAGTGGCATAAGCAGGATTTTTCTCCAGTGACATCACCATATAATATGTCATTGTTATAATTATAATCTATATCGACAAATTTACAACGTTTGCTCTTTTAATTATGTCCTACCCTTTATCTCAACGGTGTACTAAGTATTAAATGCAAGTAAAAAATAAATACATGTATAAAATAGACAATTTAATGGTGTCATGTGACATCACCGGACACTATATGGTTCCGTCACTAAAGGCCTGTTTGGTTGTTTTCATTAAAATTAAAAAAAATTAAGAAGATGAGGAAAACATCAAACAAATATTCCTCCAATTTCCTTAATAAAACCCATGAAATGGGCGTCCTAAAATGTGGGTCACATCAACCAATAAGAATTTGACACATCATTATTTTTCTTGTTTCCAATATGTGAACCAAACAAAGAAAATGAAAATGTTATGAAAAACTTACCACAAGTTGTATTTTTTCTCTATTTTCTTTCTTTTTCCTTCATTTTCCATAGTTTTTGGGCAAACCAAACAGCCCCTAACTGTCAAGTTAAGTGAGAGAAGCATAGCACACTTTTTTTCAATGTATGTGGATCATTTATAATAGTGTAATTATTGATATATGCTCTCGTTTTGGTAGATTTTAACTACTATAGTTAGTTATGATAGCATTCAAGGAATATGGTTTTTATATTTCATAATAAATTTGTAGATTGAGCTTCTTTTCTGGGTACGTAACCAGAAACTGTATAATACGAGAATGAAGTTCTTAATATATAAGCTTACGCTATTCTATAGCCTTGTCAAAACTTAAAATTCTGACCATTTGAATTTTTGTGTGGACTTAAACCTATAGATGATTTTGATACTATTAAATTCCTACAACTATTTTTTTCTTTAATATTTTAATATAACAAGTTTTATAAGAAGCTCAAAATTCTTCAAAAATATTTTACCTGACTATATTATTGGATTGGCCTAGGAGAAACCAATAATAAACTGAGTTCAACGATGCAATCCCTTTCAATAGAAGCAGAATCTCATATTTAACTATCCAACAATTTTGTCTAACTTTAACTTGATCACGTAGAACATTTTTGTGTATAACATGGCCAAACTCTAGTGTGATTTTTATGGGATTGTCCCATGGCTTCAAGTATTGGAAATGGGGTGCCCTGCAATTATGGAGATAATTAGATAAAGACACACGAAAGAGTAACTTAATTAAGCTAAGTTTCGCTAGGGGAACAAAAAGGCCTTAAGCTTAGTTTTGGCAATTGTAGGGTAATTCTAGCTTTACAAGGAACATTAAAGATTGCTTGGGGTCTCCTTTTTTTTAAAGAGAGGACAGCCGTAGCTTCTTGGGTAACTATTTAAACTGTTGAGCATTTTGGTTGTTCATTCTACTTCCACAAGTAATAATTAATCAAGCTTACGTTATCTTATTATGAACATTATTTGAATTCAAATTAAATGCAGCGACCATTTGGGCTAAGCATGGCTTCGAGAAACATGTGAAGGAAATCCCACTTTCTGTGCACATGCCAGCTCAGGCCCATCGCCATATATCTAAACTGTATAATCATATATAGATATAATATATATATATATATATTATATATATATATATATATATATATATATATATAGGGATAGAACAAATTTTCACTGTAGACCCAAATGAGTTTTAATTACCAAAATCGACCGTTTTTTTTAATTACCAAAATCGACCCGCTTTTATGCCACGTAGGCTTAATCCCGTTTCCTAATTAGTCGGGTGCCACCCCGACTGTTTAGGATATTACAAATCGGTTTTAAGGTTCTAATTGGGGTTTAACAACTTCTTAACAGTCGGGGTTGGCAACCCCGACTAATTAGAAACAGGATAAGCTACGCTGGGCATAAAACGGTCGATTTTGATAATTAAAAAAAACAGTCGATTTTGGTAATTAAAAAGTTCATTTGGGTCTACAGTGAAAATTTGTTCTATAGGATAGTATATATATGAGATTAATGTGTATCCTTTCATAGGAGGAGATTTCCTCCTTGTCGCCTATGTGACACAATCTCCCATCTCCTCATAAAGTAGGCACAAATCCCCATCAACTCATACTCCCTCTCCTACTTTATGAGAATGGTGGGATTGTGCCACATAGGCAGTCAAGGAGGAAATCCCCTCCTATGAAAAAGATACCCATTAATATATTATATATATAATATATATATATATATATATATATATATATATTTATATATATAATTATATATATATATATATTATTATATATATTATAAGTATATATATATATATATATATAGTTTTGATTTTATTTACTTAAATGGACACCAGCCTTTGTCCATCGAATTTTCTATCCACTTATTTATATATATAAAAAGACTCTTCATATCATGCAATGATCCCTAGGCAACATGAGTGGATAGAAACTTTGATGGACCATCCACTTAAGTGTGTGTGTGTGTGTGTATGTGTGTGTGTGTGTGTGTGTGTGAAAGCTTAAGTGGATAGGAATGAGTCATCCACCAATTTTTTATCCGTTGATATTACATTGGGATCTGTGATAGATATGAAGAATCTTTTAAGATTTGTGCATTTTTGATGGCACAAATCTTTGAGACAATATGAGTGGATAAAAAGTTTGGTGGACAAGTCCTCCTATTCACTTAAGTGGATAGTTAAGTGGATAGGAGTTTTACTCTATACACACACACACACACACAAGGTGGAATGCACGTGGTGAAATATTATAATTGTTGATTTTTAGTTTATGTATTTACTATAATATAGTTGCAAAAAAGTTTATGATTATCATAATATATTAAAAAGTTTTAGATATTTTAATATATAAAATCTTGTTGGTTTCAATACTTTACCTTACACATAATTAGTGATGTTTAAAGTCTTAAAATATTAATGATCTAAGAGCAATTTAATACTTTGGAATTCTAATTTTAAAATATTAATGATATAAGCACCAATATCTAAAAAACTA